ATATTCCTTAAAGGAAAAAAAAAAAGATCGTTCCATACGAAGTCGTTGTAGATGCTTGAAATATAATGGAAAAGAAGCAGGGCTTGTTTTGTCCTGGAGAGACGTGAAAATAAGGTGGCTTCTCCGTGGGCACAGCTGTAACCGATGTGCCAGTAACAACATAATAGGATGATGTCAAGTTGTCTGGAGAAGAAGTAGGGTCATAATTTTTTTTTAAAGATTTTATTTATTTATTCATGAGAGAGAGAGAGAGAGAGAGAGGCCGAGACACAGGCAGAGGGAGAAGCAGGCTCCATGCAGGGAGCCCGACGTGGGACTCGATCCCGGGGTCACACCCTGGGCCGAAGGCAGGTGCTAAACCGCTGAGCCCCCCAGGGGTCCCCAGTAGGGTCATAATTTATCAGCCTGCCCCGCTGCAAGCTCTAGGTGGTCGCCAAACAAGGGCTGGCTTCACTTTTCTAAGACCCTTCCTGGGCTGTGAGTTACCCGTGTCCACCCTAAAGCAGATTCATGATACAGGCTTGGTTCTAACGTGCTTTTCCAGGAGCACTCCGTTACATGTGGAGCAGCCTCTTGGATTTTGTGGTTCTCACTACCTAACGGGCGTTTGGAGCGTGTGAGGGTTAGATTTTCCCCGGCGGCCCGAGCACCGTGCTCATCCGTGGGTACTTTAGCTTTCCTTTGTTTCTCTCAGCATCTAGATCATGTGTTTGCTGGGCGTTCAGCTGGAATCATTTGATACTGAACCGCTCCTAAAAGCCCTGGGGGGGGGGGGCAGCCCGGGTGGCTCAGCAATCTAGCACCTGCCTTCGGCCCAGGGCGCAATCCTGGAGACTCGGGATCGAGTCCCATGTCAGGCTTCCTGCATGGAGCCTGCTTCTCCATCTGCCTGTGTCTCTGCCTCTCTGTCTCTCTCTGTCTCTCTGTCTCTCTGTCTCTCTCTCTGTGTCTCTCATGAATGAATAAATGAAATCTTAAAAAAAAAGCCCTCGGGGGCTCAGCGGTGGAGCATCTGCCTTTGGCTCAAGTCGTGACCCCGGGGTCCCGGGTTCAAGTTCCGCATCAGACTCCCCGCATGGAGCCTGCTTCTCCCTCTGCCTGTGTCCCTGCCTCTCTCTCTGTGTCTCTCATGAATAAATAAATAAAACCTTTAAAAAAAAAAGTAACGTGACATATTGAGAAGAAGATTATGTGGGCGAGACATAATGATTATAATTAAGTGACAGGGAAAATACCAAGTGCGCGGAAAGCTGCAGAGTGCAGTGGAGAGTGGGTGGCTCTTGGAGGCCGAGGCCCCTGTGGCTGAGGATTATATATTTAATCACAGAATCTGCCCCATCTAAACGCCGAAGTGTTTCTGTTGGAGGAGAGGCTTGGGGGGGGGCGGTCGTCACGGAGGCAGAGAGGTAAGAGGTGGGTGTACGTGGATACCTTCTGGCCGCCAGCCCTGTCGGCCTCCTGGACTCAGCAGCCTCCTCTTTAAGTCACGGGTAGGCGGTTCTGGACGACTTTTCCCTTCATTTGGAGGAAAGGGAAGTGTTCCTGCTCCTTGAATTGCAGTGGGCAGGCCTCCCGCTGAGGCTTTTTGTCTCTGTTGTTGTTGTTTTTTAAAGATTTTATTTATTTATGCATGAAAGGCACAGAGAGAGAGAGAGAGAGAGAGAGAGAGAGAGGCAGAGACCCAGGCAGGGGGGGGAAGCAGGCTCCAGGCAGGGAGCCTGACGCGGGACTCGATCCCGAGACCCCGGGGTCACGCCCTGGGCCTGGGGCAGGTGCTCAACCGCTGGGCCACCGGGCGCCCCTGTGTCTGTTGTCCTAAGTGCTGGTTTGCTGCTGTTGCTCATGCTGGGACCGGACAGCCTGCGGCACCCCAGCCTGAGGCTTTTCCACCCGGGCTGTGGCCCTGGAGTGCTTGGGCCCTGGAGTCGCAGGAGCCTGTGACCTGCCCCGACGCTTCCTGAGTTGTGCATTAGCCAGTTTCCCGGCTGTAAAACGGGGACGGGGGTGCGGGCCTGTCTTGGGGTGACCTTGGATAACACGCGTCATGTTTCAGCACCGGGCCTGGGGGTGCTTGCGTGAGCATGACACCTCGTCTGCCCGCTTGGAGCCAGGGCGGCCTCTGCTTCCTGGCCGCCCCGAGGCCTGACGCTGTGGGGGGACCTGCGCTCGGCCAGCGACGTCACTTCGGGGCCGCCGGGCTGTGCGGACCGGGGTGGGCCTCTGCAGAGCACTTGCCCCCCGGGTTTGACCAGCCATCTCCTCATCCTCTTGAGACCCGCACATAGGTCCTGCCGAGGAGCAGCAGAAGCGTCCACTGGGGCTTACAAGGCGCCGAGAACATTCCGGGAGCAGCCGCCCTCGGGAGGCCTCGGCTGACCACCCGCCTGCAGGACGGGGCCGCGGGTACGCAGGGGTGGCCACAGGCACTTAGCTCCGGGTCTTGCTGCGCTCGGGGTTGGGCTGCGAGGCTCTGAGAACTTCTGGAATGGGTGTTCGGAGCAGACGAGTAGCTCAGGATTCCCGCTGCTGCGCGCTGTGGAGCCGGGCGGCTGGGCTGCGGGGGGGGTGGGGGGTGCCCACATGAAGCCCGCGCCCTCGGGCGCCGCCTCCCGCGGGTCCTGTCCTGGTGCCAAGCCCACCCTTCCCTCCGCAGCCTCCGGCGGAAAGGACGGGGCCAGGAAGCAGCTTTTGGTGGCTGCGGCAGCCCCGCGGAGCTGCAGGTGCGGGTGTGGGTGCGGGTGCGGGTGCAGGTGCAGATGAGGGTGCAGGTGCGGGTGCTGGTGCCGGTACAGGTGCGGGTGCAGGTACAGGTGCTCACCCTGTGTGACTCTTGCTGCGGGGGCTGGGGCCTGCGGTGAGGGGAGGGACCTGGATGGTGACCCTGACCGTGACCCTGATTGTGACCCCGACGGCGACCTCAACGGCAGAGGCCGGGCCGCAGCCCTGGAGCCCACGGGCAGGCATGCGAAGGCACCAGCCGGGGTGCCCAGGGACAGGAGTACCTCCTGGCGGCTCCCGGACCCCTTCGCTGGCCTTATCCTGGGGCAGGGGCTGGACGGCCGGGAGACTGGTTTTGAAGGGGTGGCTGCTGGCCATCCCACTGCACGGCTGGGCCGTGGGCGGGCCGTCGCGCGGCATGGGGTACCACCTCTCATTTACCAATGCACTCACCCCAGTTGCGTTTCCCACTGGAGTGTGAGGCCGCGGGTTAGCCTGAGTCTGTGTCTTGGGGAGCAAGTGCCCTTTTGTCCTGTGTACTTGGTGTTACGCAAGCCTTGCTCAGCAGCTGCAACACTATATTCTGTGAATGGACTTTAGTAGTGGGACCCCAGGACTCCCTGTTGCAGGGCGTGAAGATGGCTTTGCAGTCGTTCGCGGGACACTGAGGGCTGACAAGGCCTCGACCATGTGTGAGGCTTGGGTGGGTCCGTTTGACCCGTCTGGATTCTCATGCTTTCACTGGCAAAGTGAGATTTTTGTGATTAAAAGACTTGTGAGGCTTGGCATCAGGAACGCCTTTATCCCCAGTCCTTCTTCATATTTTGATTTTAAGTGTTACAAACATATTTTTTGTTTTGTTTTGTTTTTTTTTTTTTTGAGCTATGGGCTAAACTTACAAAATGATGAGAAAATAGTTAAATAATTTAAGGAACAGCAGGTGCTAAAGCCCAAGGCTTAGTTGACCTCAGCATACCTGATACTCCTGAATTTATCAATAAAAAGTAATAATAGTAATGATGCAGGGCTCCATCTCAGGACCCTGAGGTCGTGACCTGGGCGGAAACCAAGAGTCGGACCCTTAACCAACTGAGCCACCCAGGTGCCCCCCCCCCAGTGATTCCTTATTTTTATTTTTATTTTTTAAAAGATTTTATTTATTTATTCATGAAAGACACAGAGAGAGGCAGAGACACAGGCAGAGGGAGAAGCAGGCTCCATGCAGGGAGCCCGATGCGGGACTCGATCCTGGGACTCCGGGATCACACCCTGGGCCGAAGGCGGTGCTAAACCACTGAGCCACTCGGGCTGCCCTCGTGATTCCTTACTGATGCCTCTGATGTGTGTGAGAGGGTCTCCAGTTACGGACTGATTATTATTATTAATAATGATATTAAGTGACAACCAACCACTGTGCTGAGCACATTATTTGCATGACTTCATTTTACTACCTCAAAGTAGTTGACTGTTCTGATTTTACAGAGGAGCAAAGGGCCTTTGAGAAGTAACTGCCCCCAAGTCACGTCTCTAGGGATGGCTTTGCACCATTAATGGTGCAAGAGAAGGCATCTTTGGCAAAGGTGTTGTGATACAGGCTCTGCAAAGGCATCTCCGTGGTGACTAAGTTCTTTTATAACAAGACCTCAGTGTTGGGAAACTCATGAGCGTGTTATCAAGATCTGTGAAGCTGGAGGTTTAAGTTAGAAACGAGCCGATTTTGATTTTTCTCAATTCCTTACCTTACTACGCTTTGTTATGTTTATTTAACAGATAATGCTTCTTGATATTTTAACGATGTTGTTTTGATATCTTGTCATTTGAAACGCGTCCCTTTGCTTTCCAGGCAACAGCACAAAATAAAGGAGCTAGCCACGCACTAGGTTTGGGGAGATTGCATTTTATTCTAGAACCGTGGACTATAGTTTGAGTTCGTTAGTGGATAGCATTAAAATTAGTGAGGCCAAGTCAAAGTGTGTTTTTCTGAAGAGGGAACCTCTGCCGTCCCCTTATTCACTGCTTCCTTTTATTTTTATAATTTTTATTGGTAGAAAAAAATTGGAATACTGTCTTATTAACAATAAATTCAAATTTTATTCAGTTTTAGGAGGAATAATGAATTTGTCGGGATGTTTTTATACCTCGTCCTAGCAATCCATCCATACATATATGGATTTCCAGATTTTATCAGCAGTTTGGGGCTGTTATTCGGATGTCTTGAGTGATAGCACACAGCATTCTGGGATCTAACACGCTGCCATTTCTGGCTTGTTTTCCTCTTCCAGTGTCTGTCTTTATGCTGAAAGTGCAGGTGAATGACATCATCAGCCGTCAGTACCTGAGTCAGGCGGTCGTAGAAGTGTTCGTGAACTACACGAAAACAAACTCCGCAGTAACTACGGACAATGGAGCAGTGTTGATAAAAGTACCCTACAAATTAGGGCTCAGCTTAACCATTATCGCTCACAAAGATGGCTACGTGTTGACTCCCCTGCCTTGGAAGACTGGAAAAATGCCAAGTAAGCACTTAACGTAGGGTCTTGCCTTTACTAAATGTAAATGGAGTTTACGTTCTGGTAGATGTAATGGCAAACATCCATTCTGGTAAACGGAAACTGAGAAAACCTATGTGAAGTCAATACAGAGAGGTTGGAAGGAGAGCCAGTTTGAAGAAAACATGATTTTTTAAAAGAGATTTTATTTATTTATTCATGAGAGACACGGAGAGAGAGAGGCAGAGACGCAGGCAGAGGGAGAAGCAGGCTCCCTGCAGAGCCTGATGCAGGATTCGATCCCGGGTCTCCAGGATCGCGCCCTGGGCCAAAGGCAGGCGCTAAACCGCTGCGCCGCCCAGGGATCCCTTGCTTGCTTTTTTTAAAAATTGTGATGCTTAATTTTTTTAAATTATGTTTAGTTATGTTAATTTATTTTTAAATTAGAATTTAGATGCTTTATTTGGTTTCATATTGGAAACATTTGAGTTTTTGAGACATTGTTCAAGTTTAGAATGAGAAAGAAAATGAAAAAGTGAACTAGGTAAACCAAGCTTCATGTGAATAAGATTTAATAAAATCATGACTCAGAAATCTAGTAGGGATATGTCTGAGGTGAATTTGTGGTCTTCCATGCTTTAGTTTTTTTTTTTTTTTTAAAGCCAGACATCAAGCACAATTATTCATTAAATGAAAGTTAGAAGAATAATGAAAGAAACCAAAAGTAAGATGGGAAAAAGGAAATAAAGATAAAAGCAGATGAGCATTAATTAGAAAATATAAAGAAGAGATCATTGACAAAATGCTAGTTCTTTGAGATAAAATAAATTACGTGTGTATCTGATTAATCTAAAATAGGGAAGTACAAGAAGAAAAAATATAAAATCTTTTATTTATTTTTTTAAACTTTTTTTTTTTTTTAAGATTTTATTTATTTATTCATGAGAGACACAGAGAGAGGCAGAGACACAGGCAGAGGGAGAGCAGGTTCCATGCAGGGAGCCCAACGCGGGACTCGATCCTGGGACCAGGCTGAAGGCAGGCACTAAACTGCTGAGCCACTTGGGCCATCCTATAAAATCTTTTAAACCATAGTAATGTTCCTTATCAAATTGGATGGTAATAATCTTAAAAAACCTAGTAAACAATTTTGCAATAATATAAATGATTATGTTGTTTTTAGATGAGGTAGGCCAATAGCCATGGATAAAATGTTGTGAGTAAAAATAGCTTGATTCAAAGGCTATTAAAAAAAAAAAGTTACTCCAAATCATTTTATAAAACCAGTGCAGCCTTGATTCTGAGACCTAACAAAGGTAGTGCAAAATTAAATGCTCTCATGTGCTCTCTCTCTGTCATATACACAAATGCTCCTCTGTAGGCCAATCTATCTAACATGTATCTAAGTACAAAAATCCTTAACAGAATTTAAAAATAAAAAATAAAAAAAATAAAAAAAGAATTTCACCACATTTAAATATAGCTTTCTGTTAAGACCAAGTAGGATCTTTCTTCTTTGTAGGACTATAAGGATGCCAAATGTGTCACTCTATTAACTTTACACACCCTATTAGATCCCGTTGGAACTGCCAGATGGTAACATCGACAACTGTCTGAAGTGCATCTTGTAAGTTCATCATCTGTGCCTAAGAAAAAGCTCTGAAAACTAGGACCACAAAGATCTCCTTGACATGCGAATATCTCAAAATCGTACTTAACTGTAAAATGTTAGAGATGATCCTACTAAAATAAGCTGAACACAGATGTCCGTATAATCTTACATTATACAAGTTCTTATCAGCAAAAATAGATCAACAGACCAAAAAAGGGGAATGGCTATGAGAAAGAAAGAATCAAGACCATTACTATTTTCCGTTATCATCACATCCCTGGAGAATTACAAAGCATGAATCTTAAAACTCCCGAAATTAATGGAATTTGACAAAATTACTGAGTGTGGGATAAGCATTGGTACAAATCAGTACACATTCTTGTATGCCAGAAGTAGTTACCAGTTATGGGACATGAAATGCCTCTCAGAACAACAAGAACAAACAAAATATGCAGGGAAATCTTTAAAAAGTGTGAAATAACCAAGTGTTAGGGAAAATAAAGCGACCAAATGTTACTGATAAACCTTAACAAAACTAAAAATCTGAATAAATGGCAAAACATTATAGTTCTTTAGAAAACCCGAATATTGTAAAAGTTTCAATTCTTCCTAATTTATAGATAATGCATTAAAAAAAAAACCTAGCAGGATAATCCTTGGAGAATAAATGTGTAAAAATGCCTGGAAATAATTAAAAAAATATTTATTAGAGGTGATTAGATTACCATTTCAAGTAATTAAAATGTTATATAGCTACACAACTAAAACTCTGTGATACTGTGGTACAAATCAGATGGTAGCATGTAGAAGAAAATGTAATATATATATATATTTAGAAAATGTAATCTATGATAAGGTACCATTATTAATCAGAGAGAAAAGGCTGAATTCAGTATTCAGTAAGTAGTGTTAGGATATTTTGGTTAACTATTTGGAGTAAATTAATTTGGATTTATATTCTAAATATATTGCTCATAGAGTTCAAATGTGGAAAATCAAATCATATTAAATACAAGAAAAATAAAAACTATTTTTTTTTTTATTAGGATGGTCTACTTAAACTTTAAAGCAATGTAAGAGATCATAAAAAGTAGATTTCGGGATCCCTGGGTAGTGCAGCGGTTTGGCACCTGCCTTTGGCCCAGGGCGCGATCCTGGAGACCCGGGATCGAGTCCCACGTCGGGCTCCTGGCATGGAGCCTGCTTCTCCCTCTGCCTGTGTCTCTGCCTCTCTCTCTCTCTCTCTGTGTGTGTGACTATCATAAATAAATTAAAAAAAAAAGTAGATTTCACTACTTTTTAAAAAAAGGTACAGTGTAGCATGGTGACTATAGTTAATAATACCGTACTGTATATTTGGAAATTGCTAAGAGAGTAGATCTTAGAGGTTCTTATCACGGGGGGGAAATGTGCCTGCGTATAGTGGTGGATGTTAACTAGACGCTGTGGCGATCATGTTGCCATATATACAAATATTGAATCGTTATGTTGTACACCTGAAGCTAATAAGTTATATGTCAATTATATCTCAGGAAATATGTCTAAGGAAAAATATGAAACAATAAGGAGTAACATATTTCTAAAGATTTTATTTATTTATTTATTTATTTTTGTATTTATTTATTTGAGAGTGAGAACACAGGAGGAGGGGGAGGGGCAGAGAGAGACAGAGAATGTAAGCAGGTTCCATGCTGACCTTGGTGTCCAATGTGGGGCCCGATCTCAGGACCCGGAGGTCACGACCTGAGCCACACCAAGAGTTGAATGCCTCACCGACTGAGCCACCCAGGCCCCCCTTGGAGTAATATTCTTAACAGGCAAATAATTCATACAAATTAGTGAAAAAATAACAACGCCCTGGCTAAATGAGATAAATGGACAAAATCGGCCTGGCGATGTTCAAAACAAGAAAAAACTAATGATTTGTCACTAAACGTGATAAAATGTCTTATTTTCCTAACAGTCTCAGATTTGTACACCAAAGACATACCTATTTCTTTTTTTTTTTTAAAGATTTTTTTTTATTTATTCATAGAGACACAGAGAGAGAGAGAGGCAGAGACACAGGCAGAGGGAGAAGCAGGCTCCGTGCAGGGAGCCCGACGTGGGACTTGATCCTGGGTCTCCAGGATCACGCCCTGGGCTGAAGGCAGTGCTAAACCACTGAGCCACTGGGGCTGCCCGACATATGTATTTGTTAGATTTTTTTCACCTTAGAAAAGTTTAAGAAAAGTTGAACATGCTCGGTATTGATAAAGTGAGGTATGATGGGCATTCTCAAGCCGGATTGGTGGGAGTACAAGTCAGCAAAAGCACCTGGAGAACAATTCAGAAATATGTGTGTCCGAAGCCTTCAGAATCTTCATGACCCTTGACCAGTATTCCACTGCTGGGGCTCTGTCCTAAAATCAGATCGACAAATAATTAGAATTGACACATATTCGTACACAAAGATGTTGATTCAAATATTATTTTTTTTTGCCATAACAGCGAAAATGAAAACACTAAATATGTATTAGTATAGGGTGGCCCGGGTGGCGCCGCCTTCGGCCCAGGGCATGATCCTGGAGACCCGGGATCGAGTCCCGCATCGGGCTCCCTGCAGGGAGCCTGCTTCTCCCTCTGCCTGTATCTCTGCCTCTCTCTCTCGTGTGTCTTTCATGAATAAGTAAATAAAATCTTTATATGTTATATAGTATAGTGGTTCAGTAAGTCTTGATACTTAAGAAAATGAAGTATGTGACCATGCAAATGTTAGGAAAAGTTTCTATTGAGGGACACAATATCATACGCAGATATTTTCACCCGTTTTCATTTAAGATAATATCTATACATAATAGTGTGACTATTCAAAAAAAAATCACAGGAAAAAATCCAGGAAGAATATATACTGAAGTATTTAATAAAGATTGTCTTTGTGCTGGGGTTGTGACGACCATCCCTTTCTTCGCGTTCTTGTCTGTACGTCTCAACTTTTCCAGAGTGGACATTTATTCCCTTTATAATGAGGCACATTTTGTCAGTGAGGGGAAATCTATGGGTATATTTTACTGGGGTTCAGAAGATTCTCTGTAGGGTTAGTAACCTTAGGCCATCAGGGCTACCCCCCTTTATGCTACGTGTGACGGAGAGAGTGGCCGCGCATGGGACAGGGCGCTCGTGACCCTCTTTCCGAGGCCCGAGCCACTGCCTCCCTCCCTCCCGGCTCCCTAATGCATCCTGAATTGAAATTACGCTTTGCTTCGGCAGCCCTCTTTGCCCCTTGAAGGGAAAAGGGGTATTTCATTATACGTCCCTTCGTATCTTTTTGTGTCTTGTCCTCTCTTCCACGTTTCCTTCACAGCCCTTTGCAGGATCTTGAAGCAGGAAAGTATTCCCGTGCAAGTGGGTCTTACCCTCTCCTAAGGTCAAGACCCACTTGTTCTGTTAATTTCTTGCTAATAAGTATAAAGGCGTCCGTCGCATGGAGGAGAGCCAGCAAGCGAGAGCCCACGTGTAGTAAGTTCATATGATCTGTTCTTGCTCATGAATCTTGAAATAATTTCGTGATTCCAGGTCAGCTCCCCGGTCCCGGAGGGTGCCTCTTTCTGGGGGCACATCTGGCCTCCCGTGGTCGCCGGGACCCTTTGTTCCGCTCTGGGTTAACCTGTTTTCCCGCTGGGCCAATGCGGAGCCTGCACACCTGCTGCGTGATGAAGACCAGCGCACCCTCCAGCAGGACGTTTGACAGAGCCAACCGGGGATGTGGTGTCTATCTCAGGGAGCCTTGGATTGTGGAGCCAAGATTATTATTATTATTATTATTATTATTATTAAAGATTTTATTTATTTATTCATGAGAGACACACACACAGAGAGAGAGAGGCAGAGGCAGCGGCAGAGGGAGAAGCAGGCTCCATGCAGGGAGCCCGACGCTGGACTCGATCCCAGGACCCCGGGGTCACACCCTGGGCTGCAGGCAGGCGCTCAACCGCTGAGCCACCCAGGCTTCCCCCAAGATTATTTTTTTAAATCATTAGAAAGAAATACCAAGTATAGTATATGTGGTACTCTCTACATCATACTATACTATACATACTATACTATGGAGAAAACAGAGGATTATTCAGGATTATTCGAGCATTTAACCCGACCATATATATCTGGGGTTAGAGAACATCGTTAGTCACTTTGCTATAAACTACTGGAAAATGCAATTAGTAAAAGAAAATAGTGAAATACAATTAGTAGAAGAAAAGAGCGATGGCTGACCTTTCGTTCTCACTTTGTGGTATCCCCCTTTTCTCCCCCCCCCCCCCGTCATACTTTACACCTGTTTTTCCTTGTTTCCGTAGGTTCCCCTGCCCCCACTTCTCGGGCTGCTGGAACAGACCATTCTGAACCCAGCGCCCCCCACACTTAGTAAAATACTCCAATTGCGCTCTGTTTTGCAGTATATTCGTCAGTGACTCTTTCACTGTTCCCGCAAAGCCAAGCAAATATATGGCTGTTTGAAGACACCGTTTTAATCACCGGAAAACTAGCTGGTAAGTGCGACACTCCTCGGCGCGGATGTAAGACCTTCGGGTGACCGTGGCGATCCCCCTCGGTTACGGGACTGTCCTGCTTCAGGAACAGTCCTGTTGGGTAGGACGCCGAGAAAACCCCAAGTGGTCAGGGCTGGGTAGCCCTGCTGTAAGCCGGTCTGAAGGGATGGGGACGGGGCCTTGTGTTGCGGGGATGGCTCATTGCCGTTGGGGCGCCGCCACCTCCCACCCCTGCCTGAATGGGAACGTTTGGCTTTTGGACACGTCGCAGAGATGCTCAGCTTCAGCTTCTTTCCCAACCACACGGCTCCCAGGGCTCTAGTGGCGACCGAGGTTGGGAAAACTTTGGGGCGCTCGAATTTGCGGCCACAACGTCCCTGCCTGTGGCATTAGACCTGCCGCCCGAGTGGTGTTTGCTCAGCAGGTGGGACTTGCCTGCCTTGCACAGCCCTGCACAGCCTGCAGGGAGGGTGGCGGGGCCTTACCTGGGGTCTGGCTCAGGCCGCGCCTCGCGTTTGGCTTTACGAGCCATGAGAAAGAGCCGCAGCCCCCCTCGGTGGTCCTTAGGGGGGCCCTAGCATCGTGTCACTCTTATTGCACTTTGCATAAAACCTCTACAGATGTGGGATCCCTGGGTGGCGCAGCGGTTTAGCGCCTGCCTTTGGCCCAGGGCGCGATCCTGGAGACCCGGGATCGAATCCCACGTCGGGCTCCCGGTGCATGGAGCCTGCTTCTCCCTCTGCCTCTGTCTCTGCCTCTCTCTCTCTCTCTCTCTGTGACTATCATAAATAAATAAAAATTAAAAAAAAAAAAACTCTACAGATGGCCACGATTTCTTTTCTTTTCTTTTCTTTTTTCTTTTCTTTTTTCTTTTCTTTTCTTTTTTCTTTTTTCTTTTCTTTTTTTTGTATTGGGGAATTAGAGGTTAGGCCTAAAGCATAGTAGGAATGACCGGTAGAGGCAGAAAATGTTCGAAGTAGAGTCCAGTAAGCGTCGTGGCAAAAAGACCTTGCTTGGGAAGGCTCGTGTTCAGAAGCTATCTCGTTTATTTCTAAAGTATCAAAAAAGTAAAAAAAAAAAAAAAGTATTAAAATACTTTATCCCATGGAAAAAATTAGACTTGGGCATGATTAATTTTGGAGTCATTTCCTGAAGACAGGAACCGAGTCCCCTGCTCTAGAAGCCTAATCGTTTAACGGAACCTGGAGCCGCTGGGCATGCTGGGCGGTGGCCGTCGGGGCCGGGGCTGGGGCCTGGGCCTGGAGCCCCGAGGAGGAGGCAGCCCCTGGCTGCAGGGGAGGCTGCGGGCTACGCCGCTGGGCCTTGGTGAACCCCCCTCCCCCGCAGTCTGTTTCGGTTTTGAGGCATTCCCCTTCCCGAGCTGTCCTCTTCAAAGCCCACTTCAAATTGTAATTTCCCCCAGAATATAAGGAACAGGCGGGTACGCACGTGTGCACGCGCCGCCCTCTGCATTTCGCGAGGCCACAGAGGACACCTGTCGGGGAGGCGCGTCCCCGTGGGGACTCGGAGCTCTCTTGAGGTCTCACAAGTCACCTCCTTCTCCCGCCTCATCTCCCTGGGAGGTGAGCCCGGAGGAAGCCAAGCCGCGGACGGGCTGTTTGTGCGGACGGCCGTCTTCCCGCAGGAGACCCCCTTCCCAATCCCTCATCTTCCCTAAAGTGTTTATATGTTTTCTTCCAGGATTTGACCAGAAAGGTGTCTGGTTTGCACGATGGAAAATGCGTTAGGTTTTGTGTGTATTTGTGGTGAAGTGAGCAGGAGACATCAGAAACCTCAGGAACGTACAGAACCTTAGGGAAACTTAGCCACACATTTCACTTAGTGTACGTGTTTTCAGTTGTTAAGAAATCGGGGGCTTCGGCACAATTAAGGCACATTATATATATATATATATTTTTTTTAAGTTTTTGACTTTGTATCTGAAATGACTTCAAATACAGAAATAATTTCAAAATACAGAAAAGTTGCAAGAATAAGAGACAAGTCACCCCTGTAGACCCTCTACTCCGATTCCCCCGTTGAGAACACTGGATCCCATCTGCTTTACCATGTGTATCCGTGCTCTGGGTGTGCTTTGGCTCTGTTTGTTTTTTTCCTGAACCATTTGGAGGGAAGTTGCACGTGTCGTGGCCTTTTACCTCTCAGGACTTAAGCAAGCAATGCCTAAGAATAGGGATATTAAAAGGCCGTGGCAGCAAAATTAAGGTTGCTAGGATAATTTAACCATCCAATTCCAGTTTTGTCCATGGACGTGGTTTTTTTTTTTTTTTTTTTTTTTTTCCCCATTCCAGTGAAGGGTCAGGAATTACATTCCGTTTTCATGTCTCAGCCTCTATTAATGTGAAACTCAGGACACCTATTTTAAAAGGATCAGGTGTAGTTGGTAACTGTAAAGCGATGGGTTGGAAGGTATAAGATTATAGCCTCAAACAGTTTAATCAGACAAGAAAAATATAAATGTGTTGTTTCTATTTACAGCCCTTATTTCCCAGGTATTATTTTTCTAGCTTCGTATGTAAACTATACACTGATTTTGAGAAATTTTCTTATGTTTCATCTATCATGTATTGTCAAGTAACTAGAAACTTTACATTTAAAATTCTAATGATTTAACTGATTGCTTCTGTCTTTTTTTTTTTTTTTTTTTGCTTCTGTCTTTATCAGTAAGTGACCTTAGGTTCAAAGCGATAGTTGATGTTTTTGATAAGTTTTATTGATTTGAGAGTTGGCCCTGAATTGTTCAGAATGCATTGATTATGGAAGCATCAGTATTCTCACCGAGTTCAATTAAAGGATAGTCGACGTTATTAACATGAAATAACATTCATGGATCGAATACCTGCCGTTTTTGGTCGGTTGCAGTCCTTTCTGACAGGCGCCGTTAACTCGACTCCTGTGACAGAAATGAGACCCCAGTGAACCATCTGGGCTGACGTCAGTATGTGGTTTCCTACTGGGACACCCCCAAAAAGGGGCAAGTTCTGTGCAGGAGCATGAAGCGGTTTCCCGGGTAGAGGTTCCTTGTGGGATCTAAAGGAAGGAGGATTTCTTACTTATTTCCGTTCTGAATCTAAGATAATTATGAGATGTGAAAGCGTCCTAAAGCAATGATGCTCTGCTTAATACGCATTTGTCTGTTTGTTCATGAAGTTTCCTTTTTTCCAGATGCCAAATCTCAACCAAGTGTTCAGTTTTCAAAAGCCTTAATTAAACTACCCAACAACCACCACATTAACAACGTAACAGGCTATCTCACAGTCCTACAACAGTTTTTGAAAGTGGACAATTTCCTGTATACAACTGGAATTACCCTCAATAAGTCAGGTATTATCTCATTTTTTACCTGATCTGTATTCATAAGGAAGAGTACGTAGTAGGGCTGCTTATTAAGATGTTTGGAGGCAATTCCCTTTTACCCAATGAAAGAAAAGTCGTACCAGGATACGCTGCATACCTTATATCGGGTGAATGGAAAATTTAATGTGCAGGATGTTTCTTTCCAAAGGAGGTAAAGGAGGCATAGACGATAGTGATACATTGTATGACTTTGCAAGTTAAATGATGTATCTAAAAAATGAAAATCTGATTGAAAGAAGCATATACGTGTTTTTATAATCCGACCTTCTATTCAGTCTTACCGGGTCAATTATTAATGAATAATTGTCGGACATAAAAAAGTTTATAGGTCAAACAATTTGAAGTTTTTCTATTCGTATTTGATATTTGAAGTTTTTCTGACGTATTTGATATTTCCTGAGAGTAAAATGATACATAGGTATTTTAGAACAGTTGACCCTTGAATGATGAAGGGTTGCCTCCCCACCCCGTTAAAAAATGGTGTTAAATTTTGATTCTCCAAAAACTTAACTGCTAAGAGCCTGTGGACCAGCAGCCTTAGCAGTGACAGTCGATTAGCACTTAGAGGTGTCCTACGTGCTACGTACTGTATTCTTACAATATTGTAAATATTGTAGCACAAAGAGTGCACGTCTGTTCCCTGGGACAGCCTTTGCTGGCTTCCCTCTTGCTCGCTGTGCTCCCCTACCCCCTCAGCACTGGGGACTTCCCCCCAAGCTGTCATCTCAGGGTCAGCTTCTTGAGGAAGCCCATGGAAGATCCCTGCCGGAGTTCTCCAGGTGCGAGTTACAGGATGCTCCAAATAAAACCGTGTGCGAGAGGGGGACCCGCAGACCGTGTGGCCGAGGAGGCTTACGCTGCCCCGGAGGCTTCATAGGGACGAGACTCTCGCTTCAGTGAAAAGGGAACCTTAGATGCCCTCCCTTCCAGCATTCCACCTGCTTTTGAGATTATTTGTTGGACGTTTCCGTTATCCCGAGCGTTCCGCTGACATTGTAAAAGTTCTGGAGCAGTGCTGTCGGATGGGAGTGTTCCTGTGCTCTATCCATCAGGTCATATGACATACGGTGTCATATGGCGGCTCCTGCCGCACGTGCCCGTTGGGCTCCGGGAGTGGGACTAGTGCACCCAGGAGCAAAAACACTCCTTTCCTTGGAGTTTAAGGCGGCACATGGTGCAGGTGGTCCTGTCCTGGATGGCTTAGGCCTGGAGTTCCGGGAGCACGAACGTGGTGGTTAAAGCGGCCTCCTTCTCATGGTCTTGTCGTCTTTTCCCCTTGTACCCTCCTCCTCTCCTTCCTCGTTGAGTTGGCCTCATCCCAAGTGGTGTTGAGGTGGTGCTCTTATCAGCTTCGGCTGCGTGGACCCCATGAAGACACTGACAGCGTGGAGCTGGGGGTCGGGGTGGAGTCCAAGCAGTCACCCCAGAAAGCCATGGGCAGCCTGGGTGGCTCAGCGGTTGAGCGCGGCCTTCAGCCCAGGGCGTGACCCCGGGGTCCCAGGATCGAGTCCTGCGTCGGGCTCCCTGCATGGAGCCTGCTTCTCCCTCTGCCTGGGTCTCTGCTTCTCTCTCTCTCTCTCTCTCTCTCTCTGTGTGTCTCTCATGAATAAATAAATAAAATCTTAAAAAAAAAGGCATGTTATAAATCATATGTATAATCATACTTTTTTTGAAAATTTTTTTATTATTTTTTTAAATTTATGAGAGAGAGAGAGAGAGAGAGAGGCAGAGGGAGAAGCAGGCTCCATGCACCAGGAGCCCGACGTGGGATTCGATCCCGGGTCTCCAGGATCGCACCCTGGGCCAAAGGCAGGCGCTAAACCACTGCGCCACCCAGGGATCCCTGTATAATCATACTTTAAATAAGACCTTAGGCAAACAGTATGACCAGGTCTATTAATCCCACTTTCCTCAATTTCCAAGCTCTGAAATCTAAGTGATGCTGTAAACACATAGGAGTCCAAGTTTCATTCATTCTTCCAGTGAGGCTGTTAATCAGACGTGTATCACAGCTTATTACCTTTACACCAGCTGACGATATCGCTGATTTTGTTTAATGTTTGTCAGACCTATGAAAACTTGCATTTTGAGTGAGAATGTGTTTTACACAAGGTAACTCTGAGGAGTAGGGCCCGGTCTGGGGTTCTAGGACTTGAAGCAGATACTCTCGGAGGCAGGAGAGACGGGGTTTTAGGCTCCTGTCTGCCTTGAGGACACAATACAGTAGAACCTTCCTGTGGGTAGGACACTAGTGACATGTGCTTTTGTTCTCGTTTTTTTTTTTTTTAAAGATTGATTGATTGATTGATTTATGATAGAGAGAGAGAGAGAGAGGCAGAGACACAGGCAGAGAGAGAAGTAGGCTCCATGCCAGGAGCCCAATGCGGGACTCGATCCCGGGTCTCCAGGATCGCGCCCTGGGCCAAAGGCAGGCGCCAAACTGCTGAGCCACCCAGGGATCCCCTGTTTTGTTGGTTTTTAAAACGTTGAATTAGATTCCAGTGACCTTAAATCACATGACTCTGAAAGAATTAGGTCTCTAGGCTTATATTCATTTGTCGGGTTGTATAACCTATACTTAGGATATATTGTAAAATTCTTTAATAAGGATCCAGTATCTATCTGATACTGAAATGGGCGACCCTAGGTGACTAAAGGAATTGGATATCTTAGGCCCGTATTGCTTTGTTATTAATATGTAACTACAGCCTGTGTTGTACATACGGTTTTAATAAACCGTCTTCCTTTTTAGGTTTTGAAAGCCTTGAATTGACTCCTCTTGCTGCAGTATGTGTGAAAATATATTCCGGAGGAAAAGAATTAAAGGTAGATGGCTCTATTCAAGTGTCTCTCCCGCTTCTACATACAAATGGCGTAAGTGCAGGGGATCACGTACCTGCCTGGACGTTTGATATGGACATAGGTATGTAAGCTACGTGAAAACGTGTTGAATATTTCCCTTTTGAATGTTTGATCTAAGAAATATGTTTCTGTATTACTGTTAAATTTTTTTTCAGCTTTATTGAGGTATAATTGGCAACCTTTAATGTTTATCACAGCCTTAAAATGTAAGGGGTCTTATTTAAAATATATTAAAATATGTCATTTATATTTAAATGTTTTATATTCAGTAGAGCATTAAATCAGTAATGTTGCAATTTTAAGTACTTTAAAATGACTAAAGTTGGCCCCGCTTTGATTAATGTAACTGTGGGGAAAATGATATTAATTATATTACATTTAAAAAATAGCATTATTTACTCACATTCCCTTCCTTCTTTTTTTTTTTTTTTTTTTTTAAAGCTCTATGCTGGACATGGGGCTTAAACTCACAATCCTGAGATCAAGAGTTAAGTGCTCTACTAAGTCAGACAGCCCCCCCTCCCCACCCTCCATGCCTTTTTAAACATCCCTCAGGATCTTTTTTTTTTTTACTAAATTTATTTTTTATTGGTGTTCAATTTGCCAATGTACAGAATAACACCCAGTGCTCATAATCCCTCAGGATCTTGATAGGCAACATGAACTTGTATCTACAAGGTTGGTTAAGGCAATCTGAGAAACGTATGTTAATTTCATGAAAATAAATAACATCATGTTATTAAGATACAGAGTGGTTATTTTCAAAAAAAAAAAAAAAAAAAAAAAAACCCAAAACAAAAAAACCCAGATACCGTTATTGATCCCTGAGTTGTTTAGCCTCCTAAGTAGACGTACTTTTTTCCTCCTCTGCTTCTCTTGATATTGTTCTTGTGTCTCTATATAAATAGGATGCGAGTCTTTAAGTTACTCGTAACCCCCTCCAAAAAGGGATATGCTCCATAAATGTTTTGGGTGAGTCAAGATACAGAGCCCAGACAGTTTCATAGGACTTGATTCCTCTCATCTGTTTCCTCCGTGTTAATACCTTTCTGGGATAGGATTTACCTTCAGAGTGGCAAGAAGGGTGGAAGTGCTCAGGCTTTTATACCCACCGGGGTTAAGGCCCAGTGGAAAGGAAGATCCTTTCCTAGTAGTGATTACACAAACTCTTGGATTAACTGCAGTTTTAGAATGGAGTTTTCACGCCCATCTCAGAACCAGCCATTGTGTTCTGCAAACAGAATGTACAGATTCATTAAAAAAAAGAGAGAGAGAGAGAATAAAAGGTACAGATTGGTTTTTAGGCTTAAGGTTGTATGTTGGAGCCCCAGTCTAATGTGGATTGAAAATAGGGAGCCCATCAACCTTTAAAGGAGATTTGGAATGAGATTTCACTGTAATTAGAAGGGTAGTCAGAAAAAAAAAAACAAACCCAAAACCAAAAAAAAAAAAAAAAATCCAAATAAATGTTCGCTATAAAAAGTGATAATAATAATATACACACGTTTTTAAGAGAGAGTGGAAACTATGAGTAAAAAAGATAGTTGTAGGGGAAAAAGTCTCCTCTTCGTGCAATTCTGCACTCAGTACTTCATTGCCGGTCACCAAATGCAGGGTGTGTTTTTCTCACACCGAGCAGTTCTCCAAGAGCTGGGTGCCCTAAAATTCTATTCCATTTACATACTATCTACCGGGGATTAGCATCAGATCCCACACGTTAAGGACTCAGTCCCACAAGATTGTCGCCTACCCCCCACCTCTGAGGCCAATTGCAAGTCCAGTTTGTCATCCATGCTTCTGACCAAGTGGCTAGAAATTGGAGGTCCCCATGACCATCTCCTGAACTTTGATATTTGCTAGACCAGCTCACAGGAAAACAATTTACTTACTAGATTATCAGTTTATTATTAAAGGATATAAAGGGATATCCTCTCCTCTGGGTGCATCACCCTCCCATCACCTCCACGTGTTGACTAACTCTGCTTTCTGAACCCTGTAGTTCAGGGATTTTTATACATATTTTATATATAAAATATATATATTCTATATATTATATATATTATATATATTCATTATATAGACATGATCCATCGTCATTGACCATTGGTGATTGAACTTAATCTTCAGCCCATCTCCTCTCTCCGAGTGTGTAGGGTGGAGCTGAAAGTGAAAGTTCCAACCCTCTAATCACACGGGGTTTCCCTGGCAACTAGCACCCCCCTCCCTCCCAGGGGACTTTCCAAAAATCACCTGGTTAATATAGACTCAGGTGTGGTTGAAAGTGGCTTGTTAGGAACCACAGGAAGCACCCTTTCCATCTTTTATCACAAGAAAACTCCAATGATTTTAGAAGCTCTGTGCCAGGACTAGGGTCTACGACCACATATAGTATATTATAATCATTAGATTAAAAGCTCTAAGTCCCAGAGTCTAGTCCATTTACCAGCAGTGTGATTCTGAACAAATCATTTATTTGGGCCTGAGTTTCCTAATTTGCTGAATAAAGGAGTTGTTTTAAAACACTTCAAAGAATATCTGTTTTGAGTTCTGATTTATGATTGTTCATCCTGACAAAGGCCTTTGTCTCTAATGTACCTTCCAGTAACAAGTTTTTTGCATTCATCTATCAGATATAGGTAATGCTGAATTTTAATGTGACTGTTTAAAAACCAATAAGTTGGTCCATTTCCATCAAGTTTGTCTTCCTTATTAAAAACACTGTTTTACATGTTGTAGATTTACTGTGCATTGATAAACCAGTGTACAAATGTACACTGAACTTCTAAAAAGCTTTGTCATGCTGAACTTTATGAAAGATCTGGGTTTTACTGAATTCTTTTCTCTATGGATAGCATTTTATTAGATCAGATAGCATGTAATTTATTTTTTTAATTTTTGTTTTTTTAGGTAGGCTCCACCCTGGGCCAGTGCAGGGCTTGATCTCACAACCCTGAGATCAAGACCTGAGCTGAGATCAAGAGTTGGACATTTAACCGACCCAGACACCCAAGCACCCCAGATCAGATCGCATCTTTAAAAATACTCTTAAGAATCTGGTTCTAAAAGAGCCATGCCCACAGTAATAGACCGGAAGAGTATTTAATAAAAAATTAATGAGACCGTAAAGCAAACATTATGCGTTTAATCAGAATTCCAGGACAGGTGACAAATAATCACTTACTCATAAATTTGGATTTCACTATTCACATCCTTATGACTTATCCCAATATGCCCAATTTAAACATTATTTGGAGCATCATAATTTTCCCAAATATGTGTCCTTTCTTAGTTTATTTATAATGATTTTATTTCCTTTAGTCATAACAAACATTCAAACCATTCTATTATAGGTATTATAATATGCACTATACGTATATTTTGAAGATTTTGCTTATTTATTTAGAGAGAGAGAACACGTGTGAACATGGGGGAGAGGTAGGAGAGGGAGAGAGAGAGAAGCTCAAGCACACTCCACGCCGAGTGCAGAGCCTGACGTGGGGATCTATCTTAAAACCCTGAGATCATACCCTGAGCCAAAGCCAAGAGTTGGATGCTCAACCAACTGAGCCGCCCAGGTGCCCCAATATGCACTGTATTATGATATAATATATAATGTATATTATCCCATGATAATGTATTTCCAGCGTTTTCATGATTTTTGGAAGAGTCCTACAAAGTATTCTATACATAACGTCAGCAAACTCCTATCTATCAGTGCTGAAGATATATAATCTAACTGATTGGTATTTTTTACTTGCCATTTTAGGTGCTTGGGTGAATCATGGCCGGGGAACAGTCAAGGCATATAATAATCACTTAATTTGGACGTATGATGCCCCACATTTGGGTTATTGGATAGCAGCTCCACTTCCAGGAACTAGAGGTATTGTAAAGATGAAACAAAAGTAATTTGAAAAAAAAATCCACATAGTCAAACTGGAATTGATATCACCAGGTCTTGATTTTATTCTAAACATTGCCACTTACCAACCAGATAATGCTAGTAAAAGCTTCTAGTCTCTTGATCTCAGCTTTAGGAAAAGATTAAGCTCAGTGAACTCTAAGGTCCTTTATACCTATGATGTCTGATGAATCTGTAAAGTATAGATTTTTGTTCAAGTCAAATGTCTTAACTTTCCAAGGATTCAACCCACATCAGTTAGAGCCTTGGGTTGCGAGCAACAGGAACAGATCTTGGATAATTACATGGAATGTATTAGGATATAGAGAGTTCATAGGATCCCAAGGAAGGTTGAAGAACTAGATTCTAAAAGGCAAGGATCCTAGGGAACCAAGGCAGCAGGCCTCCTTGACTGTCTTTGGAAGACTGCTGCTGTGCATGTGGCTGACTACGTTTTGCAGTCTTTTCCTAACACTGTTCCCTTGTTTTAGGGATGAAGAATTAGGTTGGCCTAGACTTGGGTCTTGAGCTCTCCCCTGGGGTAGGGGCTGTTGAAAAATAGTGATCCTGTACTGTTTTTAAGATAGGACATGTGATACCCCACGTGAAGTTTGGTGTGACATCGGAACTGAAGGTGGGCGAAGACTAAGACTTGTCCACTGGCAATGATCTGTTCATATTCTAGGACAAATGAGTATTTTATTTTTCCTGGATTTAACACGCTGTCAGATTATCTATAGGATTTTTTGTAAGGAAATCACACTTGCATCTTGAGTCATATAAACCTCTCAAACTCCCAAAATACTTGGATGTCACATGCCATAAGGTCTTCTAACCTGTGCTGGTGCAGACTGGTGACAGCATGGGCCTGCTACCGCTTGACGGGCCTTTTGGGCGCTCGAAGGCATCATCTGAGTTGCTTCTTGGCTTTCCCTGTTGCCGGCTTTGCTAAACCCACTTTGCAGCCTTCGGCATCTTCTTGCTCTTTTATCTCATTTTCCTTTTCTCCTTTAACCTGTGAGTTGGTTTATTTATCAAAACAAAACAAAGCAAAACCTTCACTTTAGTGAAGCGTTGGGGGAGCGTGAGGGTTGAATGTGTGTGTCGTTCCTACATCTTTTTTTTTTTTTAAAGATGTTTTATTTATTTATTCATGAGAATACACAGAGAAAGAGAGAGAGAGAGAGAGAGAGAGAGAGAGGCAGAGACACAGGCAGAGGGAATAGCAGGCTCCATGCCTGGAGCCCGACGTGGGACTTGATCCTGGGACCCCAGGATCACACCCTGGGCTGAAGGCAGTGCTAAACCGCTGAGCCCCCCGGGCCGCCCAGTTCCTACATCTTTCATCACGTGTCAAGAGATTTCCTTTGGTTTATTGAGGGTCTTGGCTCCTGGCTGAGAGGCAGCTGCACCCTGGCTGTTTTGTGCTGGTCGGGGACAGCCCCCTGCACCCCCTGACCTAGGATGTGGGTGACGTTTTACATACGTTCGTTCGTTCCTCTGCAGCATTCTAGCCTCTAACTATATGGCTGCCTGTTAATAATTTGAAGGGTCTCAGTTCTTTCTGAAAATGTCTTTTTTAATAGTTTCTTTTCTTTTTCATTTTATATTGGCAACCTCTGAATTTTAAACCATGCCAGGTAACGAGATGTTTTCTTATTTTAGTGAAACCAAAATTTAGTATTCTTTTTTTTTTAATTTTTATTTATTTATGATAGTCACAGAGAGAGAGAGAGAGAGAGAGAGAGAGGCAGAGACACAGGCAGAGGGAGAAGCAGGCTCCATGCACCGGGAGCCCGACGTGGGATTCGATCCCGGGTCTCCAGGATCACGCCCTGGGCCAAAGGCAGGCGCCAAACTGCTGCGCCACCCAGCGATCCCCAAAATTTAGTATTCTGATAGAAGAAACATGAGCCCTTAACCATTATGATCAAGGATCATAACAGGGATGTTGTCCCGGTTTTTGTTTGAACTTTGTGCTTATGAGATTATTTATTCAGAAACCAGAGGGTGCTTACTTTTGTTCTTCATGATGCAAAATATCCTGCAGTCGTGCCAGCTGTCTGTCCTTATTTCATTCTAGATTTGCGACTGTAATGAAATATCGATGAATAAGAGCAATTAATATTTAATACTTCAACTAAATCCAAGTGATTTCACTTCTAATAAAATAACCTAAGGAACATTTTCATTTCATATATATATATATAATCTATATATATATACATAAATTACATTAAAGTTAAATTACATATAATTACATTATTACATATTACATATATTGTAAATGTATTACATATAATAGTATTACATATACTATTGCATATACATATACTGTAATAGTATTACATATAATGTAATTATATATAATTACATTTTATCAAATTACATGTAATTACGTTATATATATATATATAAATTACATTAAAGTTCTTATATATATAAATATGCCTGAAACCAATTTATAAAAGATGACTATGAATTATAAAAGCTAAATAATTTTCTAAAGCAGGTGGAAGTTTTGTGTTAGCTTATATGTCAGAAGAGCTTTTGTGTGAATCAGAGTACTAAACTGCAAGTGTGGGATTCCCATTTAGTGTGAATTAAGTAGCTTCTGGTGATGCTTTTGAAAAATCCACCTGCAAGTGCATCACGGTCAGATGAACATTATACTAGAAATATAGGTAGCTTTATTGTAGCTCTGGCTTTGCCAGTAAATATCTGGCTGAGCTTGAAAACAGGTACTTACCCATCTTAATATTAGTTTTCTTATTTCTAAATTGAGGAGTTGCGTATGATGATCTCTAATATCCCCCTCCCCCCCAATTTTAGATTGTGAGTAAAATCACATTTTGTAAAATCAAAATTGGTCCTCTGATGGACTAGTGTCTGTTGTGCTAGAGCTACTTTACTTAAAATTCGGTTGATAATATACTAAATCTGTTTTTTTTAAATTTATCTTGAACAGAATTCCAGAATTCCTTGGAAAATAAGTAGAAGAAATTAAAATCAAGTAGTTTTTCATAGATTGCTATAGTAGAGTTTAATAAACAGGTACTTGCGACTGTTTTTAAATACACATTTTCAAATATATTTAAGTGAAAATATAATTCTCTGCCTTTCTCTTTTTAGGCACGCAGGCACATGCACACAAACACAGATGCGTACTTTTTGCTATTGTCATACATATAAAATTTTGGGGGAAACCCAACAGTATCAGCATCACATTTCCAAAACAGTGTTCCATTGGAATCCTGTGCAGTGAAAAACTGTTAGCGCCACTCTGTTGGGGAAACATATGTTCATGTGCCCTTAGGAGAAGTTGAGTTTCACCCAGTTATTCTCAAACTTCACTCCATTGCAGCTCTGGATCCTGAGTAAGGATCTGCAGATAGAACTGTTCCCCTTTTTCTTTTCTCTTTGAAGGAATGCCCTGTTGCTCAGCGCGGCCCCTGGTTGTCCATCAGACACGATGAGCCCTTTGTTATCACTTCCCGGCTGTGTAGGAAAGTGTGGCCTGTTCTTGCATGACCTTCCAGTTTCATTCAGCAGCAGTGGTGTTCCTACAGCGGACACCTTCCGACTGCTTCTCATGTGCTGAGCACCTGTGCTACCTTTTCAATCCTTGCAACAACCCCCGTAGGTGAGACCTGACAGGAACCGAGACACCATTTGCCCAAGAAAAAAAAAAAAAAGGAGAAAGTTACAGAGAAATAAATGGTGATGTTGGGGTTTGGGTGCTTCTCTAGAGGAAGGGCTTGCTCTACACTCACGTGAAGTCCCAGGGATGTTTCCTAAAGGCTCCTCATCGCTAAAGGGTCACGTGGGGATGGGGGCGGGGGATCTGAAGGCTAAGGTAGCAGCACATACCTTCTTCCCCTCTGTCGGTAGTATTTTCCTCCTTCCTCCCCACCACATCAGGCTTTATACATGAAGTCTCCTGCATGGGGGGGGGGGGAGCTTTCTGTTCCTCCCCAGAGAGGGAGGAAGGTGGGAGAAAGGTATAAATTTAAAGAAAATTAAACTTTACTATTAAGTTTCTCTTAAAAAAGAAGAGTGAGCCTAGGATTCTGGCTCCAGAGTTTGTTGCATAACCAAACACTGCTTCTCCCAAACCCGTACGACTTCCATTAGTACTTTATTTTTATCAAATTAGATGATGCAAAAGCTAAAGGATCTGAAGACCTTGTGATCCTCAGTCTTTCCTGGTGTCCCTGGTGAAGCTGAAAGCCTCATTCTGGACATTTCTCACGGCAGAGGTTGCTAGAAAACCAGTTGTCTCATCGTTCTCGTCATCTTATCGTCCTGAGCACGTCCTAGGCTCGGGCTGAGAACGATCGGTAGCCTTGTGGTACATGGGGGCCGTCTTAGTGACGCTAAAACTGGCTGCCTCCTCATTAGTTGCCTTTATTTACTGCAGAATCTTTAATAGCCTGCAGCTGATCGCCCCTGTGCACTAACCTGCCTTTACTGCGGTTCGGCTGACGACGGCCGCAGCGGGTATCCGAATTCTCACACGGGAAGGTAGACGGTCCTTTGTGCTTCTGCGTGGCATCTTCTCCATCTGCAGGCCAGGCTGAAGGAAGAGCAAACCCCGAATCCTTCAAGTCCCCCACATTTGGATTCTTTCTTTCTTACCTACTTACCTTGGCAAATTGTTTTGAATGTATCTTTAAAACATCTCTTTAGGGGCTCCCGGGTGGCTCGGTTGGTTAAGTGTCTGCTTTCAGCTCCGAGCATGATCTTGGGGTCCTGGGATCGAGCCCCAGGTCAGACTTTTTGCTCAGCGGGGAGTCTGCTTCTCCCTCTCCCTTTGTGCTCTCTCTGTCTCTCTCTCTCTCTCAAATAAAATCTTTAAAAATAACTTATTTTTAAATTGCATATAGCTGGGATGGCTGGGTGGCCCAGGGTTTAGCTCCTGCCTTCGGCCCAGGGCGTGACCTTGGAGACCCAGGATTGAGTCCCACGTCGGGCTCCCTGCATGGGGCCTGCTTCTCCCTCAGCTTGTGTCTCCGCCCCTCTCTCTGTGTCTCTCATGAATAAATAAATAAAATCTTTAAAAAAATAATAAATTGCATATAGCTAATGAGTCGACCCTCCCTACTAACATTCTATTCTAAAACCTCTTTGCACAGAAATATTTTCTCCTACTTTATTCCACCAGATATTTTGCTACCGTACAACTTGGGTCAGTTTTGCTGCCTCTTGAAGCAAATTCCCTCACTGTCTGGCCTGGAAGCCAATGTGAAGACTGTTGGGCTTGGCCTGGTTTTGTGCATCATTTGTTCTCCTTCCAGAACGTATAGGCTGATGGAGGAGCAGCACTTTGGGATACACTGTCCATAATTAGAGGATCTCAGCAAGATGGCAGGGCCGTGTCATGCAGCCTCAGTTAAGGTGCTCACATTTCATTGAGCACAAGTCAACTGATGAAGCCCAAAACGTAGGGAACATAGTTCCACCCATAGGGAAGCCCGCCATTGGGATGGGAACCACCAAACACAACTGCGTACACATACGCCTTTCCCAGAATAGGACCCGGTTGAAAATTTGATCTAAAATAATGTATTTTCTCCATTTGTTTATATTGAACCATTTAGGTTCAGGTATAAATGGAGACTCAAGGGACATAACTGCTTACCACACGGTGTTTCTCACAGCCATATTAGGAGGAACAATCGTCATTGTCATTGGATTCTTTGCTGTACTTCTTTGTTATTGCAGGTAAGAAAAATACTAATATGTATAAACACAGAAAACTATCCAATTACAGCATCATGTCTGTGTGTTCTGGGAATCACAAAGTCTATGAAAGTCAGTACTTGGATCTTTTCAATATGTAGATTGAAATAAAAGTGGATAGACTCAACAGTGGCATTGCCTATATACACACGTATCTTGACATTCTTAAAAAAAAAATGAATCTTCTAGATCATAAGTTTTAAACACTTTTTGCCACCTCTTCTACTCTAGGGATAAGTGTGGTACTCCACAGAAAAGAGAAAGAAATATCACTAAACTCGAAGTACTCAAGAGAGACCAGACAACTTCAACAACACACATAAATCACATCAGTTCGGTCAAAGTCGCGTTAAAAGCTGAGGACAAGTCACAGTTATTTAATGCCAAAAACAACTCCTATAGCCCTCAGAAAAAGGAACCATCGAAGGCAGAAGCGGAAGAAAGAGTTTCCACGGTAAAGACTCGGGACAATTTTAAGATCTACAATGAGGATGTTTCATTTCTATCCGCCAATCCAAACAGTTACTCGAGGAGCCCAGCACAGTCTTTGGAGCCCAGCGTAGGGTCCAAACAGCCAAGACATATTAACAGCAATCTGGCTTCATCTCTAGGTGAGGCTCAAGAGGAAAAGCGGTATCTCACAGGTAAGGAAGAGGGATATGGACATTCCCACATCCCCGAACAGCTTATGCATATCTACAGCCAACCCATTGCCATCCTTCAAACGTCGGACCTTTTCGCCACTCCCGAGCAGTTACCTACGGCCAAGTCAGCCACTTTGCCACGAAAGGGACAGCTGGTCTATGGCCAGTTGATGGAACCGGTCAGTAGGGAGAGTTTCACACAGACGTTACCCAAAATGCCGGTGCATTCTCATGCACAGCCCCCAGACGCCAGGGAAGAAAATATCCCCCTGGAAGGCCAGCAGAGCTTGCCATCCCAGACTTCCGACTGGAGCCGGTATTCCAGCAGCTTACTCGAATCTGTTTCTGTTCCTGGAACGCTGAACGAGGCTGTTGTGATGACTCCCTTCTCATCAGAGCTGCAGGGGATCTCGGAGCAGACCCTCCTGGAGCTGTCCAGGGGAAAGCCGTCCCCGCATCCCAGAGCGTGGTTTGTGTCTCTCGATGGAAAACCGGTCGCACAAGTGAGACATTCCTTTATAGACCTGAAAAAGGGCAAGAGAGCCCAGAGCAACGACACGAGTTTGGACTCTGGGGTGGACATGAATGAGCACCACTCAAGCAGAAAGCTCGAGAGGGAGAAGACTTTCATCAAGAGCATGCATCAGCCTAAGATCCTTTACTTAGAAGATTTAGACCTGAGCAGTAGTGAGAGTGGGACTACCGTGTGTTCCCCCGAGGACCCAGCGTTAAGGCACATCCTCGATGCAGGGAGTGGAGCCATCCTGGAACACCCCGGGGAGGAGTCTCCGGGAAGGAGAAGCACCGTCGAAGACCTTGAGGCCAGTATATCTCCCACCAGAAGAAGGGGCAGACCAGCACTAGCCAAAAGAGACAGCAAGACTAACATCTGGAAGAGGCGAGAGGAACGCCCCCTGATTCCCATAAATTAGCCCGTCGCGAGGGTGGCCGTGTCCCTGCCGCCTCGCTTGGTCTCGCTTCCTGCACATTGCTGGGTGAGCCTCCGAGGACGTGGAGGCTGAGCCATCCCGTGGGCCCTGGACACGTCTCAAGGGGAGTAAATACTAAACTGGCAGTTCACTGATGACAGACGGAGATACCAAGGGATGCTTTTTCTGGCCTGTTTGTTTATTTTTGCGGGGTGAATTGGAAGGATCCAGGAGTTCAAAATGTAAAATAGTTTCAAGACGTTAGTTCTCTGAAGATGTTGCTTACGTAGCCAACGTAGCCCTCTCTTAAGAATAACCGTGAAGCGTGTACTCCCAAGGTGGCCTCTGCCTCGATGCTGCCCCCGCGGACCCTTCGGGACCGCAGCTGCGCTCCGGGCAGCGTCGCCGTAAAACACTGCCCCGTGTGCTCCTCTGCCTGCAGGTGGAAGTAACCACACGTGTTTTGAATTGATGTTGCCCTAGAATGTAAAGGCCAACCACGATTCCCTCCTTTGTGTGAACAGCATGTGTGTCACCCCCCAAACGAATCTTAACTCCTGCAAGATGGGCAAGAAGCAACTCGGTTGTCAGAGAGGGAAATACCAGCTCTTTGGTTGTTTGGGATATGACTTCACAGAATAAATGATAAGGGGTTAACTTGTTACATATAAGTCATCCTGAATTTTCTTTTTTTCCCTGCTTCTATAGTGAAATGAGCTTAGCCGTCAAGGAAAACTTTTATCAATCTGAAAAAAACAAAAAACAAAAAAACAATCAAACACCGTATCTTGAATTTTGAATTTAACAGTCACTGGTACATGTAGGCTAAAATTAGCTTTAAGATATTTTTTTCTATTCCTCCCCCCACCCCCAGTTCACTTGTTTAAAGACTTTTAAACTTCATTTAAAAGTTAATACTTTTGTGTTCATTAAGACCTTTCAGTTTATTAACAAAATATGTGAAACTAAAGGAAATAAACATTTATTATTTTTTTTAATGTCGACAAGCAGGAAAAGAAATTCTATTTCCCTGAGACTCAAAAACACCTTCAGAATATTAGGTATGTATCCAGATGTTTTTCTCTTGACGTTCATAAAAGATGTTTTAGAAAATGTTTCAGTTTAATGGAGAAGTAAAAGTCTTTTTTAAGGATGCCCGGGTGGCTCAGCAGTTGAGCATCTGCCTTCGGCCCAGGGCGTGATCCTGGAGTCCCAGGATCGAGTCCCGCGTCGGGCTCCCGGCATGGAGCCTGCTTCTCCCTCTGCCTGTGTCTCTGCCTCTCTCTCTCTCTCTCTCTCTCTCTCTCTCTCTCTCTCCCTCCCCCGCTGCATCTCTCATGAATAAATAAATAAAATCTTTAAAAAAAGTCTTTTTAAAATCACTTTTAGCATTTGCAAATTTCTTTCTAGTTTTAGAAGTAATATATTCATGTCCTTTTCATCGTAGCAAAGGATTCAGAATGAATACACACTCAACAGCTGTTTTTAATTATAATTGTCTTCAACTCTGAGTCATCATTCATACGTCCTAAAAATAAAGCTCTTTGTTAATTAAAATCAACTCATCCCATTTTTCTTAAAATGTCCATGAAGGCAAATATCTGAAGCAGCTTCCCCTTTCCTTGGGAGGAAAAGTAAAACTAAATGACTTTCTTTCTCATCTTCTTCTATTCAACATGGGAACCCGTGTTCGTTCAACATAGACAACCAAGGCGCATCAACAAGTTGAGAGAATCAACGTCGGTCCTATTAGCATTAGTCAAATTACACCTGGATAGTCCATGAAAGACAACAGCTTCCCCCCCCCCCCAGGATAGTAGACTTCAGCCAGTTTTTTCCTAGAATTACTTCAGTTTTTCCTATAACACCAAATCTGTCAGATCATACTCCTTTCTGTATTAACCCAAAGAACCTAAAAACCTAGGTAAAAGTTTGCCATATTTTACCCGATCCGTAGAAGAGAGAAATATTTGGGGTAATACCTAGGTTTAGTTTTTTGAGGAGGAGGTTTCTTATTTGTGTACAGAAAGAGGCATTAAAAGAGGCATACACGACGATGACTTGGAAAAGGTTATGGAGTTAGTGCTCTGCTGAAGTGCCTTTGATACAGACTTGCTTTATCGGAAGGATATGATTGCATCTTTCTTTAATGTGCGTTTTCTTTCTGTTGGCCAAATTAAGCGGATGTGCAGTTTTTGTTCATTAAAAAATACAGACCTCGCATTTCATGTTGGAACAATGAATTTTGCATGCAGGTAACGCTTGTGGGTTGCTTTTTTTTTTTTGGATCCAGTTTATATTGATGAATTATGGTGGAATGAAGCTAGAAACTATAGAGTAAAATGTTGTACTTCGATATATTAAGTTTATATTTTCCTTTAAATAAAACTGTTCCACCTTTTAGCTCGGTAATGGAATACACACGATAGAAGGGTATACCGTTCAACTATGCCACGTACTCATTCTCCTATAAAGGAAACGAGAAGATGTATCCCCAGGGTCTTTGCTAGAAATTTTTTTGGTTTCAGGATAAAATCTTACTTTCTTTTATACGCTGCACATTCTGTTCTCAATGGGGAAGTATCGGCAATTTACCTTTTCTAATGATCAAAAATGTGTAACTTCTCGTTTGTGAGTAGTTCACAAATTTCCTGTTAAAAAGCTGAAGCCATCTACTTTTTCTTAACCCAAGTAATAATAAGCCTACGGTATTCACAACTTTCTTAAATTTTTAAATGGAAAACCAACAGTTTTTTGCAAATGTAACTCTTGGGAATTTTGATCACAAATTGTTAACATTTGTGGATCCTTTGTATATACTTTGGATATATCTTAAAAGCAAAATTATCCCTCAATTAACTGATGGATTCGTTTACTAAAGCACAGCTATATGTATTTTTGAATACATATTATGATCTTGAGACTTTATAAAATCAATTTTTATGGCATTTATGCAGTTGAATAGGGTTTACACCCTTTTATAATATGCAGTATACCACGAAGGTCACAAATGTTGAGGAATAAAAGCACTTCTTTGCTTTGGCAATCATTTTCAGATCACTTTCAGTGTTTGGATCCTCTGATATCAATACATACAGAATTTTAGGAATCCGTGGGTCAAATACTGTCCCTCAAAACTTCCCACAAAGGTGAAGCTCAAAGTTCGTATTCACTTGTAGGGAATGAGTCCCGCGTTCACCCATGTATTGGCACCGAAAAGAATTTGACCATGCTGATTTCCATCTCAGACCCTAAGTTGACGTATTGCCCTCTTGTTTTTAAGTATTTCTATCTTTTGTATTTCAACAGAGGAATCTCACATTTCACTGTATTTATTGCCATTATTACTATATTCACTGCTGAAAACTGTAACAATCTGAAGATTTGTAAAATGTTAAACATAGTTCATTAAAGATAATAAATCTAAAAATGTCCTTGATGCTTTTTTTTTTTTTTTTTTACTTATTTTAGAGGGGAGGGAGGGGCATAGAGAGAGGGAGAGACAATCCCAAGGAGACCCCATGCTGAGCATGGAGCCTGACTCCGGTCTTGATTCCATGACCCTGAGAACACAACTCAAGTGGAAACCAAGAGTCGGACATTCAACCAACTCCGCCGCCCAGGCATCCCCTTAATATATTCTTTAATTTTGGGTAAACTACAAAAAAATTCCTGCCTAAACTGTCATTTAATCTAATAAATAATCAATGATTACTTTTTCCATTATTACACTCCCGGTGGCAAAATAAATATTATTTGCATACCCTTTGTTTATATAATAAACTTGATTTCTCTTTGTATTTCATATTCTCCAAAGTTCACGTTTTTACTGTTAAAGCTGAGTATAGACAAATTATTTTTCCATTCAATGAAAAGACTTGTTAAGATAATGTGATAGAATGTAAAATAAAATTGTGGTACTCAAAATACCTGAGTGAGAAAATGATACAATATCCTCTCCCCACCTCCACTTAAAGTATTTGGACTTTAAACCTAACACAATATAATCACACAAAGGCTGTTCACACTTAGAGTGCTAGATCTCCTTCAAGAGCCCTTCTGCTCACCTAATTGAACCATACTCAAGTTCAGGCAGTTTGTATTTTGGGCTTTTAGAATACCTCTTATTAATTTACTTTAATTTTATTTATTTTTTAAGTAAGCTCCATGCCCAAGGTGGAGCCCAGACACAGGGCTTGAACTCACAACCCTGAGATCAAGACCTGTGCCGAGATCAAGAGTCAGACACAGCCAGTAGAATCACCCACGTGCCCATATTTTTTTATTTTCAAGTAATCTCTATACCCAATGTGCACTTGAACTTAAAACCCTGAGATCAAGAGTTGCATGCTCTACCGACTGAGCCAGCCAAGCACCCCTAGGATACTTTTTAGAGCCATTAGCTTGGCTGCTGTGTTTTCAGACATTTTGTATAATTTACATAAATTAATATGGTAGTAGAAATATCTGTGGTTAGTTCTAATGGGAATTGGGCCCTGAATCCACTTACAGATACAGTGCAGATTATGACCCCAGCACTGTTGTTTGAGATAGACACTCCCATTTGGATCCCTGTAGAATGGAAGCCAGGCTGCGTGGCTACTTCTGTTCCAGGGCCTGGTCTCCCACTCGGATAGCCTAGAGTCTTAACAGAAATAATGTAGTTTCTGGACTCATCCAAGCTCACATGGAACTGATTATAATAGAAAATAGGTTTCAAAAATCACGATCAGAAACATGGTTGCCAAACAGATGATGTTCATGAGCCAGTCATCACATTCTCATCTCAGAAGGGAAATTAATAGGGGAAGACTAATAGGTAAGAACTATAGGAAAGATAGTCGGATGGAGCTAGATTTTTAAATGAATTTATCAGAAGCGATTTACTTATCAGCTAATTAAAGACCTTTCCCTAAACTACATGCTGTTGATATAGCACTAGTTAAAACTATACCACAGTGCTGCTTTATCAAGGATTCTCAAAATCACTTTGGCCTTTTTATAGGTAGATTTCTCTAGTACAGTTTCCAGGGAGATAGATTAATTCTATCATAAGCTCTCTCTGAATCAACTGTGGGGTTAAATTCTTTTGAGAACTCTTCTATTATCTTAAATTTGGATTTGTTTGCTCCATCAAAATAAATTATTTCCTTGACTTTCTTCTCTTTTTCCTTTATTTTGGGTCTGTGGACTTCTGTCCAACTGGGTTTTTTTTTAAAAATAAAAACATTTTCAGAGTTTGATTAGAAAAAAGTCATCTAGAAATAAATACATTGATTATAATCAATTTAAAATGTGAAATACCAAAAGTTGCAAATGATGGAAAAAAATTTTCACTAAAATATATATGGCCAATTTCTTAGGCAGAGAATGGTGATAATTTTCTTTTTAAATTAGATAAACTTAGAGATCACATTTTAAAGTTACCTGGGTTTGTCAAAACTGCAATAACACTTCTTTCAACTTTAGTAGATAAATACCTATCTGCTTCTGTTGGGAAAGTTTACAAGTTGAGAAGTATATGATATTTTTTTCCCTTCAGTGACCTTTCCTGATTGAATTTTACATTTCCTAGTTTTCAAACCTATACTCACTTGTAAATAACATATCACAGTCCTGTAGGGACACCCAATTTCCTACATTATTTAGCCTTTTTTTCTGTACTTCAGATTGACTAGAAGTTTCATAATTCATATGTTGACTGATTCTAATCCTTAGAGACCTTATTAAAACACTAGACTAACTGTACACAGTCTGATTCAAAACAAACCAGATAATTACATTCCCAGGAGTCTCTGGGCTTATTCCACTTGAAAAGCTTAAAAAACCTTTCTTACATACAATGTTGAAAAGCGTAATTGTGGCTGCTAAACAACATGGAATAAATAGCTCGGAATAATTTTTATTTTACATAGTTATATATTTTAGTCTAGAAAAATAGGTTTTTGTTTTACATGGAAAACATTTTTAAAAAGTATACTTATTCAGCTTAAATTTACCCCAATATCCAGATATTTTTGTCCATTGGATACAGAAATGCTTAATTATTAACATGGACTTTAATAGATAATTTATTGTTACTATTTGTTTTCATTTAGGTTTATTACTGATTATTGGGATGAGTGGGGGAGATCAGTCCTTTTCTTTTAGCTACTCTGAATTATAAGGAGTAGTGGGGCATCTAGATTTCTCATGTACCTCCCTTACATGGCTGATGGAAAACTTCAATAAGGTGGTATAGAGGAAAAACACAGGCTAGGCAAATATTATTGTTTTTTGACACTAAATTTGATGAATTTAAGTGATAAGGGGTTGCTTTTATGTTTCAACCTTGTTAACCAAATGTATCTCTATTTAAGAACTCATGATCAGCACTGCAAACTAACTGGCATTTGAAGGCTGCCTTTGATAACTGAATTATTACAGCCATTATTGTTGTGCTTTTTCATTAGGATCACCAGGTTTTGGATAAAAAAAGAGGACCAGTAAAATTAGGGAGGAAGGGATCCAAGATGGTGGTGTAGGATGATCCTGAACTTACCTCTTCTCAGGAACACAACAAACTTAACGGCTTGTAAGGAAATGATAGTATACTTTTCCTCTGAAAAGGAGGAACTAGAGAATTAGATGAACAATGTATTTACAACAATTCAATATATTCACAACAAAAGACAAGAGATGCACTAAGAAGAATAAAAGAGGCAAAGACATGACCTTGCTCTGGACCCCACTGCTGACGTAGCTACCCCACAACTGGGAAGGATCCCCAAAATGTGTAGTTCTCTTTTGAGGAGTGAAGGGACTATTTCCCACACTAGGCAACCCAACTCGCTGAGCTGGTATTGGAAGGATGAGACCCCAAAATGTCTGGTATTGAAAATCCAGGCAGGGCACCTCGGGTGGCTCAGCAGTTTAGCACCACCTTCAGCCCAGGGCATGATCCTGGAGACCTGGGATCGAGTCCCACGTCAGGCTCCCTGCATGGAGCCTGCTTCTCCCTCTGCCTGTGTCTCTGCCTCTCTCTCTCTCTCTCTCTCTCTCTCTCTCCTCTCTGTGTATTCTCATGAATAAATAAATAAAATCTTAAAAAAAAAAAAGAAAATCCAGGCAATAAAAATCAGGAGAATCATAGACCTCTAGGGTACAGAAATCCCACCCTTGTAAGGGTGGTACATGAATTCATTTTCCCTGAGATCCAGCCACAAAAGCAACAGATTGAAAAGTATCTAAGCCATAAGCAAGGGAGACCCACTTACTAATTTTAAAACAGCTGCTGGAGAGGCAGGAATCTTCAGGGACTTTATCCAGGGACAGAAGTTCTGGAAGATACCATTTTTACAATCTTGTTTTAACCTGCTGGTGACAGAACCAAAGGGCATAATTTTTGGTGCTCTCCTCCCTCTAACCTGCTAGCACCAGGGCATGGTCGGCCTACCCTGTGCCCTAAGTGAGCTGGATGAGCATCCTGAGCCCCACCATGCAACACATGGGGATGCCCACGCGATGCCTGGCTCTGGTGACCAAGGGAGATTGTACTTCTGGCCCACATGCGACAGCTTTGGCACAAGACCACTCTTTAAAGGCTAAGAGAGGGTAGCCATTTTGCCGAATAGTATAGACAGAGAAACAGGCAAAATGGGGAGACAGAGGAATATGCTCCAAACCAAAGTACATGACACACCCCCAGAAAAAGATCTTAATGAATTGGAAATAAGCAACCTGTGTGATAAAGGATTTAAAGTAGTGGTCATAAAAATGCTCACTGATCTTGGGAGAAGAACTGGATGGACACAGCAAGAACTTCAACAAAGAGATAGAAAATATAAGAAAATACCAAACAGAAGTCATAACCGGACTGAAAAATACAGTAGAGGGGTACGGCAGCAGAACAGATGAAATAGAAGCACAAACCGACAAACTGGCAGGCAAAGCGATGGAAAACACCCAGACAGAACAGCAAACTGAAAAAAAAAAAAAGAATTAAAAGAAGTGAGGATGCATTAAAGACCCTCTGTGACAACATCAAGGGGAAATAACATTCACATTATAGATGTCCCAAAAGGGAGAGAGAAAAAGGGCCAGCAAAATTATGTGAAGAAATAATGCCTGGAAACTCTCCTGATCTGGGGAAGGAGACAGACATCCAGGTCCAGGAAGCCCAGAGAGTTCCAAACAAGATGGACCCAAAGAGAAACATGATGAAACACGTTATAGTTAAAATGGTAAAAGTAAAGGATAGAGGAAATCTTAAAAGGAATAAGAGGTAAGCAACATATGGCTAAGAGAATTTTCATAAGGGTGTCAGTGTATGTCCCAGCAGAAAATGTATAGGCCAGAAGGGAGAGATGACATATTCAGAGTGCTGACAGGGAACAACTGCCAGCGGAAAAGTCTCTACCCAGGCAAGGCTATCATTCAGAATTGAAGGAGAG